AGTGTGGGAAGAGTATTGCATTGCAGTCTCACTGTATGCATGCACGCACGCACACACACACACACACACACACACACTCGTTTTCTTTGCCTCTTTGCCAGTGGACACATGTACTTGCTGGAGAGCGATAAGGAACCACAGTGGAGCACAGACACGCTGTAATCTCGTCTCCATTTCTCCATCCTTTTGGGACTTGGGGCATACACACATCCACCCGGTATGTTTTCCCTTTTGCTATACAGAGCTTCTGAGACAGAGAAACAGAAAGTGAGAAATCGCTCTCCAGGGAAGATGTGGCCATGCCACACTCTCTTTTCCACTCTCCTCTTGGGATTTGGGGCATACACATATGCTCGGTGTGAGTTCACTTTTGCTTTTTGTTTTACTAGAGGTTTTTGCCTTAGGACACATATACTCACCAGAGAGTGAGCCACTGAGAAGGAAAGTGAGAAATCAGCCCTCAAGGGGGCTGGCCACATGTCAATCCCTTCCCCTCTATTCTCCTCACAGGCTCTTGGGCACTCACACACATGCGCCTGGAGTGAGTTTCAAACCACCAGGTCCAGAACTTGAACCATGATTGGCCATGTGGGGGTCTAGCGACGTAACTGCTATGCCATCTGCTGGTCCCCTGGCATGAGTTTTAAGCGGCTGGGTCCAGGACTCAAACCGCGGTTGATTATATGGGAGTCCAGTGATGTATTCATTACACCATCTGCTTGTCCTGCACCTGGTGTATTTTTGAAGATACTGGGTCCAGGACTTGAACCTCAAGATCAGCCATGTGAGATCATTCCTTTAACCACCAGGCCATGGGCCAACCCAAAGTGATATGATATTAGTTCAAAGTAGACTATGATAAATTAAGGATATGACCATTTAAAAATACACACACATATAAAAAGACAAAGAGAAAGAACAGAACATAAAAACTCAAGTAATGCAACAAAAGTTAGAAAAGGAGGAAGAAAAAGAAAAACAAAACATGAACATCTCTGAGGGAACAAATATAAAGCAAAGAGGCAAAGAGTAAGATGATAGCTATAACTAAATGACATGAATTATTACAATAGAGGTAACCAAAAGAAAGACTATCAAAGTGAAGTTTAAAAATTCAGCTATAGGGACTGCAGGTAGCATGGTAGTTAAGGCGTGGGACTCCCACATGGCCAACCACAGTTCGTGTCCCAGACCTGGCGGCTTACTTTCTCACTTTCCTTTTCTCTCTGTCTGTCTCTTGTCAAATTTAAAAACAAAATAACAATAACAAATAGAATTAAATAATTCTTTTTTTAAAAAAAATTCAACTATATTTTATATATAAAAGATGTACTTATTTTTAAAGTCACAGAAAAACAAAAATAAAATATATGCAACACAATTCCAAACAGAAAGCGTAAGAGATGTTAGTCAAAACATGAAATATTTTGGTTAGATGGGAGTGAGTTCAAGACACCTACTGTACGAATGGTGATTCTGGTTAATAACCATGTACTGCACCTAGAAAACTGTGGGGAGCAGACTTGAAGTGCACCACCAAAAAAATGATAAATCTGTCAGTTTGCTCAATTTAGCCATTTCACAATGTATACATATTTCAAAACAAAATGTTGCACACACAAATACACAGATGGTCCCAACATATGATGACTTAGCAACCTAACAACTTTCGACTTTACGATGGTACAGAAGTGACACACATTCAGTAGAAACTGCACTTCAGAGGCAGCCTGTGGCCTACTAAGGTGGCTAAACCCCACATGGCTGAGTGAACGGCTTAAGTCTCAGACTAGGAGGGTGGAGAAACACACTGAGCCCAAAATCTCAAAGGAAGGGAGAGATGGAAGAGAGGAAACTGTGGCTGTGATCCTCCATGGGGGGTGCTTTCTCACTCTCCACTCTTTCTAGTTAACATACACACCCTCTGGCAAATGAAAAAAGAGAGAGAGAGAGAAAGAAAGAAAGAAAAAGACCATTCTGTTACATTACTTTCAGTACAGTACTCAATATGTTACATTAAATATCAACACTTTATAATAACGAAGCTTTGTGTAAGATTATTTTACCTAATTGTATGCTAATGTAAGTGTTCTGAACATTTATGATAAGGTTGGCTAAGCTGTGATGCTTGGTAGAGTAGGTGTATTAAATGCATTTTCAGTTCATCGTATTTTCAGTTTAAAATGGGTTTATCAGGACACAACTACATTGTAAGTCTAGAAGCATCTGTATATAGTTTTTATTTGTCAACTTAAATAAAAATATGCAACCATTAAATAAAAAAATGAACAATTCACCAAGAAAAATCTGACAGAACGAAAGAGAGAAACAGACCGGTCTACAATCACAGCTGAAGGACGAGCTCAGGTCCCCAGACTTACAGAACCAGACAGCTGTCAGCAGAGATCGAGAGCAGACCATGCAACACTAATTTAGATTTTATTGTAGAACACTTCACCCAACAACTGCACAATATTCATCCACTTTTAAATTTTTTTAAATAATTACTTTATTCAACTTATTTATTTATTTATTTTATTTGATCAGAGAGGGACAAAGTGAGAGAGGGAAAGTGAGAAAGCAAGCCACCAGGTCCAGGACTCGAACTGCGGTCATGCATGTGTGAGTTCAGCGTCCTTAACCTCCATGCCACCTGCCAGCCCCACAATATTCGTTTGTTTCAAGTGCCCACAGAACATTCACCAAGGTAGACCATGTAATGGGTCATCAAATTAGTCTCAATAAGTTTACAAAGACTAAAATCTTAGTTTTGTCCTCTGAACACATGGAATTAAATTAAAACTCAAAGATATGCAATAGCTAGAAAACCCTTAATATTTACAAATTATGCAGTACTCTTATGAGACAAAGAAGAAATCACAGGGAAATCAGAAAATATTTTGAACTCAGGAAAAATGAAAATACAATATATCCAAAATTCAAGCAGTGTATCTAAAGCAGGGTGAGAGAAGAATTTACAGCTTTAAGTACCAATATAAAAAAAAATAACTGTAGGGCCGGCAGGTGGTATGATGGTTAAGGTGCTGGACTCCCACATGGCTGACTGTGGTTTGAATCCCGGACTTGGTGGCTTGCTTTCTCACTTTCCCTCTCTCTCTCAAGGGAAAAAATAATAAATAAAATCAAATAAATAATTCTTAAAAAAAAAAAAAAAAAGAAACTAACTGTAGTGAAACGATGCTCATCAATAGGAGATGTGTCAATACCTCTAAATCCTTTTTGCTTGAAAGCTAGTTAGCCAGAGTAGATTCTGATCAATAAACTACAGTGGAAATTACTTCCAAAGGATGAGCTATAAAAGGAGAAAGAACTTGGGCCAGCAGGCGGTGTGGATGCTAAGGGGGCTAGATCTCACAAGGCTGGCTACCCAGTTTGAGTCCCAGGCCTGGTGCCTTGAGAAACATTTTGGGCATATGCACATGCATGCCCAAAATCCTGAAAGGAAAATGGAGGAGAATGGATTGCCGAGAGGTCAGCCCCTTTGGTGGGTACTTTCTCACCTTCCCAAATCTGTCTCTCTTTTGCTCTTGCTCTGTCTTTAGCAAGCACAAGTGCCTTGCCTTATAGCAAAATTTTTTTTAAAAGGCAAAAAAATTTACACCTGGCCTTTTCTCTTGGGACATTTGCCCTTCAGGCCCACTGGGCTCCCATGTAGCCCACCATGGTTCGAGTCCCGGACCTGGTGGCTTAAAACACATTTGGTGCATGTGCGTGTGTGCCCAAAATTCCAAGCAGAGAATGGAGGAAAAGGAACTACAGCGTGGCCATCCCCCCGGGGTGATTTCTCACTTTTTCTCTCTCTAGCAAGCTCATGTACCCTATAGCAAAAATCTCTCTAAAAAAAAAGAAAGTCTAGGTCAGGTAGAAAGATGCCAAAGGAGCCAACATCCCCAGCCTCCAGCCTGCTGACCTCCTAGCCAAAAGCCAGTACCAATTTGTCAGCCACATGAACAGGTAATCTTACCACTGGAGCTAGAATTCAAAGTGTGGTTGGCCACATGGGATTTGACCCTTAACCACTAGGCCGAAGGCCAGCCTGTATGTGGTCTTTGCATAACAGGCATTTTCCATGAACTTTCTGAAGATTCCTCAACTATGTATAAACTTATTATGTGAAATGTGTACATGTGTGTGTGCCTGTGTGTGTATATATGTTTGTGTATGTGCATATACATATATTAATCTATTATAGCTCTTTTTTACTGAACGAATCAAGAAGCAAAGATATCCCAGTGGCAATAGGCATTCCTATCACCTAACTCTTGGTCTCTAACAACCATTATCCACCAAGGGGAACTAGGTCCCTCAGAGAAATAAGCCTGAAGCGCCTTGTTCTACCAGAAGGTGAGGGATCCCCCAAGGTGATGTGGGCATATCACAAAGGCACAGGGCCGGCTGGCATAGGGCTCTCAGGAGCCAAGGCCGGGACAATGTGGCATCTAATTATTAAGTACAGCAATCAATCATGAACAATTACAAACCGGAACGCATGTGCCCACACTGATAGGGGAGGCGCGGAAAGGAAGGGCCCAGCATCCGGTAGAGGCTGAGAGCTGAGAAGGAATGGGGGAGGAGGCTGGCACGCCAGGGCTAGGAGAGCAGCATCTTGCGACTACTGAAGTAAAGATCGGGTCAGACAGGAATTTTAGAGGAGGACATTTGTATGGTCGTAAGTGTCTTTCCTCAGTTGGTTTATTAGTCCCAAAGGGGAAAATCACGAATTATCCAGCAGACCTTTTAACCAAATCACATCTAACATATAAACAAAGAGGTGGTCACCATGGCGAACCTGCCCTCATCCACCCACTGCTTATTTTAGATGTGGATTATCTACAGTCTCAAGCAGCTCCCGGCGCCTTCCAAAACCATATGCTCTAAGGACCATAACTAATCCTAAGCCAAGTTTCTTAAGTCTATTGAAAAACTAGTGCATCATGAGGGGTGGCGGTGAGCAAACAATAAAAAATACTTGTCATTACCTGAGCGAACTATAGGAGAATGAAGATGTTCGTTCAAAGCCATATTCCCAATGATGCGCATTATATTTCTCTGCATTTTGGGGCAGTCCTTGTGAAGCTGGTACATCCTCTGAAGCAGTTGCAGGCCTCCATTTGCTTCAATCTTATCACAGTGTGTAGATATCTAGCACAATAAATTAACGAAAGCTCAGTTGATGTCTCATAAATTCACTACACAAGATGGCAGCACTGCTGATGGGAATGGCCAGGTGGCTGCTGCTCCAGGACGGCAATGCAGAGACTACTCAAAATTCCTAAATTTTGCTAAAGTACACCAGCAAACATCTATCGAAGTTGGAAGTGCTTCTAAACCACTGGGGAAAAAAAAAGAAGACAACCCAATCATGCCATTATTACTAACTTCTTGCGACTTAGAGTGAGTGATACTCTGGTTTGAGACCACCTTCCAATGGTCTCCAGCCTCCAGAAAGCTGCTATGGACACAGGAACTAGTGAGCAAGCAGCATTTGCTTCAGCAACAAGGACTTACCAGGATAAGGACAAGTGACCCTGCAGCCCCATACCCGTACCCCACCGTGCCCACAGCTGGTGTCAAACTCAGAAGTTGGACATTTTTTAAAGAGGAAGATCAAGTAAAAATATAAAGGATTTACATTTTTAATGGAGAAAAGTGATCAAAGAAAGAGAAAGTAAAAGGAAATGTGTACATTAAAGTAATGTCATCAGTCTGCCTCACGTCCCCAGTGTGGATCTGCATCCTCGCATCACCAGTCTTCCTCACTGACATGACGTCTGTCACGTATGTATGACAATTTTGACATTCTAAATTTTCACTAAATTTTATCGTATTTCAAGTGCATTGAAAGTATGCCTTTTAGACATATATGGAACCTTCAGAAAGTTCATGGAAGTCAGTATTATAAAAAACTATGCATGTATTTCAAAAATATTTTACAGTAATATACATTTGTATTTTAATTCTATTTTCCACAAACTTTTTGAAGTTCTTTGTCTATCAAATGAAACCGAAAGATAACTACTACATTCTCTGCACATTTTTTAGATTTTTGTTTTTCAGATTAACTTCACATTTTACATAAAGTCCCTGTCATGATATATACAATATTTTTTTCAACAGAGAACTTTCTTTTTTTTTACTTTTTTTTTTTTTTGAGAGGTTTTTTGCTATAGGGCGCGTGCGCTCGCCGGAGAGACAGAGACAGAAAGCGATAAATCACCCCCCAGGAGGGATGGCCACACCGCAATCCCTTCTCCTCCATTCTCCTCTCGGGATCTTGGGCACGCACGCACACGCACCCGGTGTGAGTTTAAGCCACCGGGTCCGGGTCTCGAACCGCGGTCGACTACGTGGGAGTCCAGCGCCATAGCCATTACGCTAACTGCTGGTCCCTCAACGAAGAACTTCGTATGCTTGGTCTATGAAATGTTTCTTCCCTTTGCACCTCACACCCAGCCTCTACCACCCCCATCTACCATCCATTCCACTCCCTTGTAGTGTCTGATATCTCTCCACTAGCATCTCTCAGATCTTCAGATCTTTCCATTTCTGCTACACGCTGAGTGGGGATATACAGTGTGTATCTTTCACAATCTGGCTCACTTCTCTTCACATTAATGTTCTCTACATTCATCCACTTTGAATCAAAGAATAGGGTCTCATTATTTCTTATAGCTGCATAATATTCCATGGTATACATGTGCCACAGTTTTTCAACCCAGTCATCGGGCTGATTCCATGTTATAGCAATTATGAATAATGCTGAAATACACTAAATATGCAGCTATTTCTTCGGAAAGTACTCAAAGTCCTGACATCCAGGCTAGTTTCTCCAAGCCCCCTTTTGTACTACCACACGCTATCCACTCTGCTTTGGGCTCAGTTCCTAATTCGACAGGTGGGAACTAAAGAGGACTAGAAAGGCAAGTCTCATGGTTCCACGATTAAACTGGGGAGTTCAGAATGTCTAGCGCAGCACTTCTGATGTGGGAAGGACCACCTACATCAACTGCACCAGGGATGCCAGCTACAATGCAAGTTCCCAGACTCCACACAGACCTACTGAATCAAAACTGCAGAGGCCAACAGGAAACATGCATTTGTAACCTGCTTCCTAGGTGGTGTTTATGCAGGATGCTTGAGGACCACGAGGTTTGTGCATTTTCCTTCTTAAAAATTAAATTGTGACCATGATAGAATAGTTTTCACGATGGCAAAAAGCTTACAAATTATTGATTACCCAGGCAGCAGATGGCGTAATGGCTATATCACTAGACTCCCATGTAGTCAACTGCAGTTCAAGTCCCGGAATCGGTGATTTAAACCAACACCGGACGCGTGTGCATGCATACCCAAGATCCCGAGAGGAGAATGGAGAAGGGATTGTGACATGGTCATTCCCCCCCTGGGGGGTGATTTCTCACTTTCTGTCTCTCTTTCTGGTGAGTGCATGTGCTCTATAACAAAAACCTCTCAAAAAAAAAAAAAAAAGATTGATTACCCTATGGTTATAATTCAAGAGTATGATCATCTAGTATTTCCTTTTTTTCTTATCTAGCCACATCTTACGCAATTTTAATGAAAAGTTAACTACCTGATAATATTATTGGTTATCAGGGAAGTCATGATGCATTTTTGCATAGAAAAACAGTAGAGAAGGTGTAATTTTTCAGTTTCTCACTGAGACGCAGGTTCATAATACATTTAAAAATTATCTGAGCAAGATATAGAAGACAGCATAACTCCAAAATGAATGTCATATTTAAATGATGGGTTGTTTTCTTTATATACAATTAAAATCAAATCTATTTTTAGATCTACTTAGCAAAAACTCATGTAGATAATCAATTTTTTTAAAAGAATTACTTTATTTAACTTTAATTTGGCCAGAGAGGTGGAGAGGGAGAGGAGGAGAGAGAGAGAAAGTGAGAAAGCAAGCCACCAGGTCCAGGACTTGAACCATCAGCCATGTGGGAGTCAAGCACTCTTAACCACCATGCCACCTACCGACCCCGTAGGTCATCAAGTCTAACAATTAAAATGGAAAAAAGCAGAAATTTAGAAGTAAAAGCGGTTTTTCTTTTTAAAATAATAAAGTATTTACTTTTCATAATCCAACCTGCATTTTTTCAATATAATCATTAAAAGTGAACTGCATTAGAAAATGTTAAGTTACCTCAGAATGTTTTACTATAGCTTCTAAACAGAACATTTCAACTGTAGCTGAAGGAACTTCTCCAAAACTTTCAGCATAAGGAAGTCCATTTCCTCCAAAACACCACAAGCCACCCTGAAATAAAGATAATTAAAATGTTTACTAAAAAATGTAACAAGAGATATTTTTTGTTTGCCTTATATTTAATATGTAAAAATGCTAACACATAGGGACTCAAAATAGTTTTAAAAACATAAACAGAACTTTATGCTGTTACCTATTAGAGCAGTAATCATACAAAATTATTCCTAGAAAAGAGTAATCAGTGAATCCTGGGACCAGCAGGTGCTGTGGCGGCTAAGGTGCTGGACACTCCCACATGGCCGACCATGGTTTGAGTCCCGGACCTGGTGGCTTGCTTTCTCAGTTTCCCTCTCTCTCTGTATCTCTCTGTCTTTCTCTGCTCAAATTAAGAATAAATGAATAATAAAAAAAGAATAAATGAATAAATAAATTTAATTAAATTAAAAATTATTTTTAAAATTTTAAAAAGAGTAATCAGTGAATCTGTATCCATTTTTCCTTCCATGTCCTCTGAAAGAATAAGACTAACTTTTCTTTTTCCTTGCTACGTGGTACATGCACTTGCCAGAGAGGGACAGAGAGACCAAGAGGGAGAAAGCACTCCACAATGAGGCGTGGTCACACTGCAATCTCTTCTCCATTCTTTGCCCTGTTAGGATTTGGGGCACACACACACACACACGTGCCTAGTATGTTTTACAAGTCACCAAGATGAGGAGTTGAACGAGACTAATTTTAAAAAGGAAAATGAAAAAAAAAAAAAAAGAGAGAGAGAGAGAATGCATTTTATTGGTAGAATATAGACTAGTACGATTTTTTTATTTTTTGATAAAATACTTTTCCCCCACCTAGTAGATTATATAGTTACTGTAGTAATAGTAATGGTTATTTCTGATTTCTCTTTGAGATACGATTTTTTTTTAGAAGTTTTTGCTACCAGGGCGCGTGTGCGCGCCAGAAAGACCAGAGCGAGACAGACACACAGAAAGCAAGAAATCACCCCCCAGGGAGGATGGCCACGCTGCAATCCCTTCTTTTCCATTGTCCTCCCGGGATCTTGGGCACACACATATACACACACACACGCCTGGCGTGAGTTTAAGTCACCGGGTCCAGGACTTGAACCGCAGTCGACTACGTGGGAGTTCAGCGACATAGCCATTATGCTAATTGCTGGTCCCGACACACAAGGTTTTATGAAGACAGAGAATTCCTGAGCTCATACCACAAGAATACTGGAACCGAGCAGTGGCCTGCAGTGAGGCCTGGAGTGAGCCCGTTCAGGATGCCATGCTTCTGACTGGGGAGAAGCCCTCTGGCCTGCGTGGGGTAGCTCTGTTAGTTACTAGACCAAGGTTACGGGCCCACAGCTATAACAGCAGGAGCGGGAGAAGCCGGGGAGACATGAAGACCTCTGTCAGAATGACTTCTCACGGCTAAAGTCCGCCTTTCTGCAGAGGCACTTGGTGACAGCAGCAGTGGAGCATCCTGGGAGCACACAGGGCTCTGATGATCTCCTCTCCGGCTGCTATGGCAGGGCCTCCCCCGCTTCCTTTGCTACAGACAGACTGTACATCCCACTGGCACCTCCCTGTCCATCTTGTCACCATCCCTGAAAGCAGCCAGGCCGGTAGACAGGCTCATCTATTGACTACAAAGGAAAGAGCTGGGACTTGACGTGCGAGGGGAAGCCATTCGGAGGGCTCTCAGCAGGTGCGTGGCTGGACCTACAAAAGATCACCATGGCTGCCGTAGGCAGGAAGTGGAGAGACGGGTGAGGCGCTGGGGACGATGTCCAGCCGAGAGCTAACAGAAGGAAGAGGAAGCTCTGAACCTGCTTCTGTTGAACCCTGTCCACTGCAAACACACTGGAATGCTTGACTTTAAAACATACTAAGTTTTAACAACAAATAAAACAAAACCTAAAGAAATAAAAAGGGTCAGCAGGTGGCATAGTGGTTGTGATGCTGGATTCACACATGGCCGACTACAGTTCAAGCCCTAGACCTGGTGACTTCAAAAGTCACACCAGGCATATATGCATGTGTGCCCAAGGTACCAGGAGTAAAATGGAGGAGAAGGGATTGTGGCATGCCCATCCCCCCAAGGGGTGAGTTCTAACTTTACCTATCTCTCTCTCTCTCTCCCCCCGTTGAGCACACATGCCCTACGGCAAAAATCTATGAAGCTTTTTTTAAAATGGGCCAAAGGTATGCATAGTGGTTAAGGCACTGGACTCCCACATGGTCAACCACTGTTGAGTCCCAGACATGGTGACTTCAAATCTTACTTTCTGTCTCTGTCTCTCCAGCAAGCACACGGGCCCTATAGTAATAATCTCTCAAAAACAAAAATTAAATAAACAAAATAAAATAAAAATTTTAAAAAGGAAAAAGAAATAAAGGAAAGCCCATGGGTGCTGGAATTGAAGACATCATAGAACAGAAGTAGCCCAGATTCTCTGGTGCGATTGGTAGGTAATGTGTGGATTAAGAGCTGGAAGCCACATGCAACTGTGGGTTTTGAATCCCCAGCCTGGTGGGCCTGAAACACACTGGATGTGTGTATGTACACCGGGATCCTGGCCAGCTGGAGGACAGGAGGGAGGAGGGAGAATACAGTACACCCAAGCCCTGTGGAGGGTACCTCTCCCTTTCCCTCTCATGTATGTACATATGTACACACATGTACTCTACCATCAACACAACAACAAAAGAACACAGAACAGTGTGGTAGAAGTGGAAGCACAGGGCTGAGGGTCTAAAATTCATCCCGTGCAGGAGATGTGGTCCTGTGTCTCGCATGTGGGAGCAAGATTTGAGATTCTGGCATAAAACCTGCTTTGGAAAGGTTGTCTCCGCTATGAAAGGCCTAAAAAAGTTCTGCCTACCAGTTCAGGAAAGCAGCAGGCAAACCTGTTTTTGCTCAGGTATTTGGATAAGGAAATTGTGTTCTGTGGAAAATCTCAAGTCTAAGACCATGCCATCCACAGAGGTATTCAATCTGTATTCTATATGAGTTTATTCCCTTTGCTACAGAAATGCTAAACTAAGCATAAATATAACAGTTGAATCCTATGAAAGTGGAACTTCTGGGGGCCGGCAGGTGGAGTGGTAGTTAAGGGCACTGGACTCCCACATGGCTGACCTCGGTTGGAGTCCCATACCTGGTGGCTTACTTTTTCACTTTCCCTCTTTCTCTCTCTCTTGCTCTGTCCCTCTCTAGTCAAATTGAAATAAATAAATAAAGTTGAATGAAATAATTCTATTAAAAATAAAAAAAAGAAAGTGAAACTTCTGGATCATGCAGCAGGTGCAACACGAATCTTGCTCTGTAAGGACAAATTTATAGTCCTGGGTACTTGGGACTCTGCAGAAGACAATCAGTTTAGCTAAAGGTAGTAAAGATGCATAATCCATATGAAGAAACAATCTAGCACAAGAGAGTTAATGCCACTGATAAATCAAATAATATAATAATCTAAAATAATGTAAGAATCTCAGGTTTGAAACGTACTAAAGAAATGAATTAAATAGAAGCTGGGATAAAACAGGATGTCATAAAAGAGACAATGACGACCTGGAGACCACAATGGAGCTGTGAGGCAAATGGATTCAAGGTGGATTTTGAAGGGACAGTCTACAGGGACTGCTGGCCAGCTGGTCATGAAGAAAGGACTCCTGATGAAGTCCTAGTCTTCAGCCTAAGCAACTCAGTGGGTGCGATGCTGTTTACTGAGATGAAAGGGACCGAACGAAGAGTGCTGCAAAGGGAGGGCAGGGGTGACCTGTTAGTTTGGGATTCCCACTACACGTTCAAGCAGAGATGTCAGGTAGGAGGTCGAATACTCAAATCTTGTGCTCAGGTCAGAACATAGGGCTAGAGAGAACAATTTAGGCATCATCAGCAATATGTGATATTTAAGACATTTCAAATTACTCGTTATTCCTATGTTCTGACCTGACCAATGCAATTTAAGAGTCACTTCCTATGAGTGAAGGCAGAATGGTACAGTTGCTAAAGAAAGCAGAATGGAGCTCTCTCAAAAATTAAAAAATAGGAGGGCCTGCGGGTGGTGTGGTTGTTAAAGTGGCTGGATCTTACATGGTCAGCTGCACAATTTGAGTCCTAGACCCGGCAGTTGGAAAACCACTCCAAGTTTGTGTGCACGCATGCCCAAAATCCTGAAAGGAGGAAGAAATGGAGGAGAAGGGATGAGAGCATGACCGTCCCCCAGGCGGGGTGTTCGGGGGTTCTCTCTCCCTCCAGCGAAGCACATACTCCCTCTGGCAAATATTTAAAAATAAAAAGAAATGCATAACTGTGCAAATGGAAGGATACAGTGAACTGTGTGGGCACTCAAAAACATGCACTGAATGAATAAACGGCTAACCTTCTGGGCAGCCAGACTCTGACTGCTTTCACTGAGGGCCAAAGACGTGAAATACTGGATACATTCATCGAGCTGCGTTTGAGGCAGCGAAGCCAGCAGCTGCCTCAGCTCTTCCTCCGTGGAAGAATCCTGAAAGAAAAGGAAAAGCTATTCTTCATAAATAAACTCAACAGTGTAGTCCAACAGAAAATACCCTAAGAATCAAAATATGTGGAGACACACACACACACACACACACACACACAGCTTTGATTATATATATATATGTTGGTATACATATAAATTACTGTCAGGAAAGACTGAAATATAAATATATATATATATAAATATATATATATTACATACATACATACATAAATAAATTAGTGTTTTCAGTCTTGAAAATAGTCATCCACCCGGGTAAAGAACCATTTAATTTTGAATCATCCTACACTTTCCTGTCTGCTACTTCAACTAAAAGACCTATTTCAAATTGTAACTCTAGATTTTCACCTCCCAGGCTTCTTGATATTTTGACTCAAAATGAATTATTACCTCCTTTCCAACTAACGTTATTCCTTTTTTTAAAATAAATCATTAATTTTATAGGTTTTTACTTTAGGGCACATGAGCTAGCTGGAGCCAGAGATGTGAGAGGGAAAGTGAGAAATCATCCCCGGGGGGGCAGCCACATCGCAATCCCTTCTCCTCCATTCCCCTCCCCGCATGCACATGTGCCCAGTGCTAGATCCAAGGCACCGAGTCCAGAATTTGAACCTCACTCAGCCATGTGGGAGTCCAGTGATATAACCACTACACCATCTGCCAGCCCCAAAGTTATTCCTTTTTAAATCCACAAATCATTACTATCTCATTTCCTCTAATTATTAATATCTATCTTCCTGTTTTTCACAATCTGATTGCTAACACAAAAGCTTTAAAAGTTCCATTTATCATCTGGGAACTGTTTGAGAGACACGTTTTAAATCAACAACAGTAGCTGTATATTTAAGACACATGAGGTTTTCAGACAACCAGGGGCTATATATCCCAGGGAATACTTAGCTACATCTTGAGACATGATTTTGGTTGTTACGAGTGGGGGTAGGACAGTCAAACACCCTAGAATGCACAGAACAGCCTCCTACAACAAAGGATGTCAATAAAGGAGAGGTTGAGAAAACCTGATTTCTAGCAAACTTAGAACAAGGGACTGACTCAGGGATGCTGATGTGTTATGAAGGTACCCAGTGATGCAGAGATATCCTACAGGTAGAAAATGATGTCAGAGAAACCGCACCTCCCAAGGAATCAAATCTTGGTATGAAAACTACCACCCGAGGTTTACATCCTAGATTATCTGCTTGTTTGAAAAGGAGCCAACAACTGCTTTTAGAAAGTTTCTTTCACACCCAAAGTGAAGATGTATTAAACAATTCTTCACTCTAGATTATCTGATTCACTTACTTCTTTTAAAGATGGTAAAGGAGGAGGTGGGAGAAAAAAGCGGAGATCACTCTCTTTGCTTCGTGCCAAACCAATGAGAATTCTTGGATCACAGGCTTGAGCGATTATCCTGTACTGGTAATCTATTGTAAAAGTAGGTTCTCATTAGCACCCAAATTCACTGACGGTTGTGAACAAACAACTTAAAAACACTCTACATTTTTTTTTAGAGATTTTTGCTATAGGGCACATGCGCACGCCAGAAAGACAGAGAGACAGAGAGAAAGAAAGTGAGAAATTACCCCTCAAGGGGAATGGCCACGCCACAATCCCTTCTCCTCCATTCTCCTTTTGGGATCTTGGGCACGCACGTACACATGCCCGGCGTGAGTTTAAGCCACCATGTCTGGGACTCGAACTGTGGTCTACTACATGGGAGTCCAGCAACATAGCCATTATGCCAACTGCTGGTCCCAAAAGCACTCTATTTTTAAAACTGTTCTGTAAATTTATAATTTAAAGTTTCCCAAGTATTACTTTTTTTACAACTATACCTGCACGGACAATATTTGTATGTCAGACATCCAACATGCCCACACAGACATCTGGGACTAGGTCACAGCCTCATTTTGGAAAAGGTGAAGCTCAAATGTGAAAACTGGGTAAGTCAGAGCCTATTTAACTTCTTCCTTTTTAAAAGTTCCAGTATCGAAAAGCTGTTTTGATCATTACTTCAAACACACGAGGCCACATTTAAGGCTGCTGTCCAGTGGGGCCGTCATGGTGCTGTAGCACTCGACATCCACGAGTATTCATTCTGAGATCCAGAGGGCAGTACACTGAGTTACACATGCCATTCGTTATGAATCAAAACAAAATTGCGACTACCGAAACAGACATTCTCCTCAACCTGGGAGGGTTTGTCAGAGAGCTTTACGGAACCCACATTCCAGAGCTTCTCTCCTGGTTCTTCTCATACAGCAAGTCTGGCATGAGCCCTGGCTGGCCGATTTCGAAAAGGATTTGTATATTCGTAGTCTCCATTAGCATTAAATGAGCTTATATTTATACTGTAAATTATTATAGCTGTAACCACCAACCAACTGCCTAATTATCTTGTATCGAGACAGAGATTTTATTCTAAGACTTAACTTTTCTTTGAAAATATTATTCTTTTCTATTACTTACCCATTTTTACAAGATGACTCTACTAACAAATTATAGTTTAGTCCATGTACACAATAACTGGAGCATATCTGAGCTCTTACTCAAGTACTTCTACTGCAGAACTTGGGATTTTTAAATACAATGAACTATTTTAACTATTATTAAAATAATAATACACACACACACCCACATAAACCAGGTACCTTTGACTAATTACTATTAGCATTAGAGCCAGGAGAATGTCAAAGTGAAAGCAAATGTAACTGTATGGTACAGCAAGCAATTAAATGTATTTTATTACATAGAAACTAAAAGAAAATGCAAACATGTTAGGGAGAAACCATCAGAATCGTAATCAAGGGAATATGTAATAAAATAAAATGTGTTCTAATAGAAAGTTACACAAACACACAAAAGGTCTTCAAAAAGTTCATGAAAAATGTAGTTTTTTAAATAAAACTATGGGACGAGCCCCACAGTCTAGTGATTAAAGGAGGTGGATACCATACGGCTGATGACAGTTTAAATCCCAGCCATATGTTGAAAAACATTCTGGGTGTACGTCTATGTGTGCCCCAAATCTCAAAAGGATGGAGGAATGGAGAAGGGACTGCAGTGTGACCATGCCCCATTGCGGGGTGCTGTCTCCTCACCCCCTAGACACAGAATTCAAACATTTTTTTGTACCAAAATTAACTTATACTTGAATTCTATTGTTCCATAAATGTTTGAAGCCCCTCTCATATACATCAGTTTTGAAGTTGCTCTTACCAAACACGTCTGGCAACTGGGCCAGCAGATTTTCTCATTTATTGCTGGAGCTTCTTTTTACATTTTTTAAATGCTGTAAGTGGGAGCAATCGAGTCTGTCCCACTCAGGGGACACAATGTGCTACACACACACACACACACACACACACATAAAAGATTGCCTAGATTATCCCCCTTCCTTATCTCATTCCCTTCTCTGTCCTGTCAGAAATCACGAACTCGCAGGCTGGCGCCCACGCCCGTCAGGTCCAGTTACCGTGCCAGTGGTGGGCCTCGGCCAGCTCCCGCACGGCCTCCAGCCGCTCAGCGCGGTCCTGAGATCTGCTCTTCCGTAGCAGCAGCCACACAGCACACTCGTGATCTTCCACGTCCACTGTACTGAAGGTGTCTTCACACATAGGAAGGGACAATGTCAACAACTGACAACCTTTCTGTCTTTTATTTATGATGGCAAGTTATTGACATTTGAAATCTACTGATAAAATAAAAGTGTTAAACCATATACAGGTGTTAATGACTGATACAGAAGAGTTCCAGCAGCTCGGGCCGCGAGAAGAGCAGTAGGGTTTATCCGCTCAACTCTGCAAAGGCTCTAGGCACGCTGCAGCCTCATCAGGCACCCAGCACGCACCCTGTCCACAGCCAAGATGCCCAAGAGGAAGGTCAGCTCAGCCAAGGGGGCGGCCAAGGAAGAGCCCAGGAGGAGATCGGCGAGGTTGTCAGCTAAACCTGTTCCTGCAAAAGTGGAGACGAAGCCAAAAAAGGCTGCAGGGAAGGATAAATCTTCAGACAAAAGAGTTCAAACAAAAGGGGAAAGGAGCAAAGGGGAAACAGGCTGGAGCGGCCAACTGAGACACTAAAGATTAACCTGCAGATAATAGAGAAGCTAAAAATGAGGAGAGTCCCTCTGATGAAGCAGTTGAGAAAGAAGTCAAGTCTGAGTAACGTCTTGTACAATCCAGAGGAATATTTTAATCAACTATTTTGTAAATGTACGTTTTCTAGAGCTACTAACTCTAGAAACATTTTTAAAGAATCTCACCTCATCCCCTTTTCCCCATTTTTTTAAGTGTAAATGCGTTTTTTTAAGAGGTGAAATCATTTATTGGTTGTTTATTTTTCAGTACAACTGGAAAACAGTGGGATATTGATATTGCGAGGCAGCTTTAACATTCCATATGTGGGGGCGGGTGGGGAGTTTTTTTTTTTTTTTTGAGGGGGTTTTGTTTTAGGGGGCGGGGGCCCGCCG